CAGCCGCCCGGCTCTTCCAAGAAGGCCCCGTCCTGTAAGAGGACCCCTTGGAGGAGGAGGAGGGGGAGGAGGAGCAGGAGGAGGAGGAGGAGGAGGAGGAGGAGCCGAACGAAGGAGGAGGAGGAGGACGACGACGACGAGAAGAAAAAGGAGGACCAGGAGTGGGAGGAGGAGGAGGAGGACGAGGAGGAACATTTGGGAGCATGTCGCCAACCACACACATGGCTTCAATCGCAAACCAGTCAGGGCACATGGGCGTGACCACGTCGCCGGCGACTCGCAGCCTAAGCGTGACGGCTGGTGCGTAGGGGGACCTTCAATTGGTCCCACCCCTGCCGCAACACCTACCACGCGCAACTGGGTTTGTACCCCAGGGAGAGTGGACACACGGCCCCATGGGAATTACGGGCAACATGGCCCCACATCTCCACCAAATGCGCGCTCCCCGCGCCTGGGAACCAACTACAGTAGTGCTACGGGCGCTGCTGACGCCACCAGCGGCAAGGCGAGGACGCCAAACCGCTTGGTCCACAAAGAAGGCAGCCGGTTGCACCTCGCCCAGCTGGTGGATAAAGTTCATGACAGTGTGCCCCGCGGAGCGTGTGGCACTGGCACCATGAGAACAGGTGCCATGCCTCCACCCACGGGGGAGGAGGAGGAGGAGGAGGAGGAGGAGGAGGAGGAGGAGGAGGAGGGGATGGGGGAGCAGCACAGCGTAGAAAGGGGGGAGCGGATCCGACCTAGCCCTCCTCGACCCCAGCCTCTGGCCGATTTAGCTTGAGGTCGCTGAGAGCTGCTCGAGCCGCCATCTCATTGGTGGCGGGCACATGTGTCTTCTCAGGGGAGACCCGCCTAAGGGTGTGATGAACGCGCGTGGCAATATTAACCTCTTCAAAAATCTGGACGGCGCAGCGCCTCGACCCCCAGCGACCCAAAGGGTCCGAGGCGAGGATCCGACACCTGAGCACGAACGATACAGACCAGGCGAGCCTACGACATGAAGCGCAATGAACCTGCCGTCCTCGACAGCTTTCACCCCCAAAATTGCACGAGCCCCGACCCGCTCATTCAGAATGCGATGCGACGTCAACCATTCCCCCGCAACCGTCCGCCACAAAGCCCAGGACCAGGAAGGAGAAACCTGTCGCAACACTATTGTGATCAGCGCCTCGTTGAGGCCACCGTTTGAGCAGCCTGCCTCTAATTGTCTGTCCCAAACAATCTCGCGGCCAGAAGTCGGAGCAGGCTTGGAAAGCGGACCGCTGCATTTTCCGATGTGGGTTATGTTTTTTTCTCGGCAACTGCAGCGGCATCAGCAGCGGCAAGATGGAGCACACCCTTTCGTAGATGCAGAACTATACTTGCTATATAGAAAGTCCCAGGGCCGAGGGTATTCCTTCCCGCGCGGCAGCGCAGTGAGCCGACAAAAATCAATTTTCTCCTCGGCCCCAGAGAAGCTTTCCAACTATCTATACGCACGTTCCAACTCTGGAACCACACCACTGGCCATCCTCGCAGCCGCAGGCACGCAGAGCTGCAGTAGCGGCGCAACTTTCGGGCCCCCCCAATCTCGAAGAGCAAGCCAGGCGACGGCGCCGAACGCGCCGAGAGGAACGCGGAGCGCAGAACAGGCATCTAGTTCGATGCAGCATATTATAGAAAGACACGGCCTGAACTCCGCGACCCATCGCTTCCCCCCGAGATTGGCATCTAGAACCTGGCCCAGACCAGGAATCCACGACCGTCGCCTCAGGCCCCACCCACATGCCAAAGCGACACAGTGCCCCATCCACTTCGAAGCTTTGTCACTGCGGAACACACAGACCCAGGCATCCACGCGCCCTGTCGCTGATATCCCCCGAGGGCTGCGAATTTACAGGCACGAGGAAACATTTAGCTGGTTTCAGCCGAAGGTGAGCAACGCGTTCACTAGTTCTTATGATTCGGGCCAGGGGCCGCAAAGTCGTCAACGGCTTCAAAACTCCACAGATATCATCCGCACACGCTCGGCGAAGACCTTTCTTCGGGGCCTCGACGCTCACGCGCGCGCCCCGCAGGCGGGGCGTCAGCGCAACGGCAATCAGCGACCCCGGTGGAGCATCGCACTGGACAATTCCTGACGGAAGCCAGAAAGCGCATCTAAGCGACCCCCCGCACGCAACCGCCCCCCCCCCCCCCCCCCCCCCCGATGGCCGAGCGCAGCAGCTCGACGAAGCATGGACATCCCATTCCGCGGAGCACCAGCAGAAGGCATTGCTGAGACACGCTAGGACAGGCGTGTCCATGCACCAGCGCAAAAAGAATGAGGCAATCATGGTCAGCTTCAGGACGGCTGGAATAGGCTCTGGCCACTGCGCCCAATTCAAGTATGCGCATTGCGAAGTGATGGCCTTCCAGAAACCCCCGTTGAGACGGAGGCGCAAACGCAGCCAAAGGTATCTGAATCGATGGGTTCACCGCCGCCGCAACCACTCTGAAGTTCGCGCTGCGCAGGCCCAGGGCCCTGACCGAGTTGGCACCCCCGTCGCATTCTCCACTTTGCACATCCCCCCCTGCCCTCCTTTTGGGAAGAAAGCCTGCTGCGCGAGACCCTCGCTGGCGAACGGCGCAAAACCTGGGGGCGCGCCGAGCATCGCGCCATGGAAAAGCTCCACTCAAAAGGAAATCGCAGACCGCGCAGCACAGCATAGTCTGTCACATCCAGGCGCAGAGTCCACCGCCCGCTGAATGGCCCTCCCGGTAGCACTGAGATACGGCGGAGGACAGTTGGCAAACTCAACCAGTGAGGCATATCTCGAAGCACAAGCAAACGCAGCTTTCTCGCCCGACTCCCTCCTCGAAAAGCCACCCCCCCAGCGCCGACACAGCTCATTGGATTTTCCACCTGAGTCAGTAGCAGGCGACTCATCAAACAAAACATGTCGGAAAATCCGCCGACGAGCGAGCGGCGCCCAGATCCGAGCGCGACGTTCAAGAGCGCGAATGCGCGCGCGCAGACTGCCCCCCCCCCCCCCCCCCATCTCCTCCACCACCCTGAACCTCCATCCGAGCACGAATATCAGCTTCGTCTTGCTCGAAGGACTTGATCTGCTGCGCGCGGCACTGCCGCTGGAAGAAAGCCGCGCGCCAGCTCCACCTTCGACCCGGACACGCGGAGAAAAGCAGCAGCTGCAGGGCGGGTCTCTGGCGGGCCCGAGTCGGCCCGCGCATCCCGTCGCCGAACTGGTCGAGCGATCGCTCTAGCCACCAAGAGTAGCAAGGCACGTGAGCCACTAGGAATACGGAAGAGAATCAGGTCTCTCACCTCTCTACGGGCTTCCACCACCAAGTGCATGTTGCGCTCCAATCTCCAGGGGGGGAGCGCATTTTTCATCGTCGCATGCTTCTCAACTTCAGAACAAATTAAGAATCATGTTGGACCCCTTTGACTTGCATATGTGTTTTGATACACGACCGCGACCGGCTTCAGGGGGGGGGCGACGCTGTCGGAAGATTACCACGTGAGCAGCATGATCACTCACTCGTGACCGGAAGACGCCCTCTGGCCCCCCCTCGACCTTGGCCATCGTCGTCAGCAGCGCGAGGACGCTGCCAGGTCACGAGCAACAGCATCTGTCGATCGCGGCAATCGCATCAGCACGAGCGCCGCAGCGCGTGGCCGTCGAACATGAAATCTCAACCAAAGCATCCGGCGAGGGGGCTCACTGGGACGCGCGGGCACGCAGCGGACGGGCTACCCGCTGAGCAACGGATGGCTGCGCGAACGTTAATTTTTCTCCCCGGGCAAAGTTAGAAATCTCAGCGCGCAATCACAAGACAGGATTCGGGGGAGGCGTCAGACTTGGACCTGTCCTGGGAAATCGCGCCGCCCACGCCCCGAATTTGCTCGCAGGTTAAATCATGGCCGTGGATACTTCAACGACCCAGCTCCACATTTTCATTCGCGAAACAGACGCGCAACACATGGCCAGGCACATATCCGGAGGAGGAGGCAGAGACCCCAGGAGGAAGAGGTGGGGATGGCTGGCCAGCTGTTCGCACGCTCGGCACAACCGCGGCTGACCCACCTCGGACGCGGCCAGCGCGATCCTCGCCACAGAAGCTCGAGTATACAAGAGCTCCTTGGAGGGCTTTCTGGTGACAAGTCTGGAGCTGGAGAGCGCCCCGATGGAATTCCTGGAACACCGTCACCGAGGAGCCTAAAAACAGACTCCTCGTGTATCCCAACTTGGCTTTGGCACGAGCTCCCTCATACTGCAGCCGAGGTCGGCAGTCCCACGAATTAAACCGCAGCCCCTCGACCGACTCACGATCCCGGAGGAAAGGGGTAGAGGAGGTAGCAAACAGCTTTCTGAAACGACTACAGACACCACTGCGGCTCAGCCTCAGGTTCCACAGCGGACTCGATCGCGCCCGCGAGCTCCGTCTTCGAGAAGCAGTACTTGTTGACCGTCGTCTGGCACCACCTGACCTCCGTCTTCTGGCGGCCTTCCTGCGGGCACAGCTTGAGTAGCGGACCCCAACCCACCGACAGCCAGCCCCTCTCTCTGTCGAAGAAGAGGCGATGCTGATCACCAGTCTCGTAAAGCAGTAGTTGTCGTACTTTGCCGCCCAGTACCTCCATCTTGACCTGCCTCGGGTTCCCTCAACGCGGACGTGCAACTTCGCGGGGCATCCCGCACCATGCGATTGCACATCGGATTAGCGCCATCCGCTCTCTCAACGAAGAAGCGAGAGAGCTTTCGCAACCCGTCTTGACGCCAGGCCCACACCGCCGTTGACCTTGATCGTGAAATAGCGGGTAATGGGATAGCGAGCCTCGATACTCTACCACTCATCTGTGAAGACCGCCTCCGCCAGCCAGGGATTGACCGCCTCGATCGCCACTGACTTCGCCACACCTTGTCCGCATTGGCCTTGATGATTGTGCCGTCAAAGTCCCTCTCGAAGCCCGAGTCGAGCGTGATGGGGGTCGTCGGTTTCTTGCCCGCCATCCCCAATTACTCCTGTAGCAGCTTCACCTTGTCAGCCAACCCGAGGAGCTTGCGACCGTGGTCGATCTTGGACGAGTGTTCGCCTGGCGCCGCCTGCATGTCATCGCAGCTATGGGAGAACTCCCTGCGCAGCTGGTCAATCTGGGGGTTGACCACGTCGAGGATGGACCTGTCCAGCTTCTTGGGCAGGGCGTCGAACTCCTCCTGGCACTTGCGCATGCAGTCAGCGAGGTGCTTCGTGAAATTCTGCTCGATCGGAGCAGTTGCTTTGGAGACGGCAGAGCCCACCATGCTGCCGAGCTGAGACTGGATGGTACCCAGCTTCTCGGTGAGGCAGCGCACCCCGTCAGCAGAGGTATGCTTCTTGGTGAACTCGTCGAGCTCGTCGGACATGCCATCAGGAACCACGACGCCTTCGTCGTCATCAATCGCATGAGGCCGAAGGTCACCAGCATCAACAGCAGGGGGCACGTGCGGCCGTTGCCCTTGGCATCCTTGCCCGCCCTGATGACACCCCTCGTAGATGAAGCCGAACGCTTGGCAAGAGACTTCGGGATCGAGCCATTGGTACCAGACATGCGGACAGGAGACTGAGACATAATGACTGAGAGGTGGAGCACAGATCCACCAGTGAAGGCTGGGGACAAGATTGCTAGCCTCAAGAGGCTTGCCTGCCGCGGGCTAGCGGTATCGAGTCTTGCCAACGAGGGCTCAGCCCGCCAAAGCATTGGCCTTGCGCCACAATCGCTTACGGAGGGGATGGAGGAGGAGGAGAAGGAGGAGGAGGAGGAGAAATGGGGAGGAGGGGAAACGGGGAGGAGGAGGAGGAGGAGGAGGAGGAGGAGGAGGGAGGAGGGAGGAGGGAGGAGGGAGGGAGGAGGAGGAGGAGGGAGGAGGCAGGAGGAGGAGGAGGAGGCAGGAGGAGGAGGAGGAGGAGGAGGAGGAGCAGGGAGGAGGGATGCCTCCTGCGGCGGCCGCCCCCTCGCGCCCATCCCCCCTCTGCCGTGCGCGCCCCCGCCGACCCTCCGCCCGCGGGCTCCCGACGACGACGCTCTGCGCGGGCGTCTGGATGACGCGCACGTCCCCGTTGGTCTGCATGTGGAACCTCCGCCGCCGCACGCCGCCGCCGGGCGCGCGGTGCCGCGCACGGCGAGGGGCAGGCGAGGCGGCGGGGCACGACGAGGGGGAGGAAGAAGAAGAAGAAGAAGAAGAAGAGGAGGAAGAAGAAGAAGAAGAAGAGGAAGAGGAAAAAACGGCACAGACAGAAACTTCTGGCGCTCCGCGCGGATCTCTTGGATCTGCGCTGAACCCCCCTCCCTGGCGCGCGAAGCGCGCCAGGGGCGGCGCCGGAGGCGCTGCGGGGGGGGGGGGGGGGGCAGCGCGCGGATCCAAGAAGTCCGCGCGGAGCGCCGAAAGTTTATGTTTATGCCGTTCGTTCTTCTTCGAGCTAGGTTAGGACAGACCTGAGAGGGGAACACTCGCGAGTCACAAAGCCACAGTCACCAGGCAGGAGATGAGGAGGCCTACCTGGGCCAACGACTGGGTGCCGACCCGCAACAAAGTTGCTGCTCGCCTGGGCCGCGCGGAGTCGGATTCTCTCGCGGAGGACAGCCACACGCGGCTTGGCACCCCTTGGCTGTGGCCGAAGACGCACTCTGTGGGGGTGGACAAGCCCCACGACGCAAGACGCCTCTATCACGAGTCGGCCCGACATCTACACCGCGGCCGGGGGAGGAAGCAAGCATCGGATGGTAAGCATTACTCGACTGAGAGGGGGAGCGACAAGGGGAGGGAGCTGGCTCAAGGGGGGGGAGGAAAATACCGACTTCACGTATACATGACCGATGAATTGGCGGGTGGCTCTCGGTGGCGAGGTCGTTCGTTCCTGGGCGGGGTTGGCTACGAGGCTCCCATCGGTGATGAGTGAGCGTGAGGGAGTCGACGCAGGCCCACCATACATGAGCCCATCCCCCCCCCTTGTCGTTGCCCCTGGCGGACACACACCTGACGGCCATGATACAGGTCGCCCGTGACAGTCGGAACAGGTCTGGTGATTTCGACGTGTTTGTGCACGCGTTTGCTCTGGCGTTCGGGGCCTCGGAGGACGTGGTTGGAGAGATCTGCCAAGCGCAGTGCGTGTCCTACCGCGGCGCTGCGGAGCGTTTGGGCGACACACACGTGGGTAAGACACATGCAAGGTCTTGAGGCCTTGGCTGCCCCGATACGCAAAACGCACCACGTAGCGTGTTGTCACGAAGCTCGGCAAGTATGCTGAACACGTGGGTCCCTCGAGACACGCTCGCTGGATCGTGGACCGAGACACGTGCCGAGCCAAGACGCAGCATGCGAGCACGGACGATCTGGACACGGCACGTGCTGCGATTGAGCACGGGCATGTCAGGGCAGCTACAGTCGGCCTTGATTGGACAGGACACGCGAGAGGAAACAAGACCCTTCCGAGGGCCACATCGCCATAGGAGTGTAAGAAGGCACGAGTCGCAAGGCACAGGACACAATGGTACCCTTGAGCTGGCAGGGTCGACCTACTATTCCAGGCCGACTGTACGCCGGCGACGCGCCGTGTGCGTGCGCTCGACGACAGGCTGCGCCGTCGAGCGCACGCGCGCCGCTTCGTCGCCGACGGTGCCGCCACCTGCGCCGAGCCGCCCGCACGGCGCGGCGCGCCACGGACAGATGGGGCCAGCGGCGGCCTTCGGGGCTCCAGCGGTTCGCCCTCGTGGGCCCCCTGCTGCAAGAAGAGGGGGGGACGGGGACGGGGGTGGAAGGGCACGAGAAGAAAAGCCTCGGCGAAGGTGAGGAGAAGAAGGAAGTATCCTCCTCCTGCTCCTCCTCCTCCGCCTCCTCCTCCTCCTCAACCTCCTCCTCCTCCTTTTCTCCTCCTCCCCCTCCTCCTCCTCCTCCTCCCCCTCCTCCTCCTCCTCCTTCCCATTCCTCCTCCCATCCTCCTCCTCCTCCCTCCTCCTCCTCCTCCTCCTCCTCCTCTCCTCTCCTCTTCCTCCCCATTCCTCCTCCTCCTCCTCCTCCTCCTCCTCCTCGCCCTCTTTCTCCGCTCTCTCAACCTCCACCTTCCAAAGTCCTTTGGAACACCCAGAACCACCCTTGCACCCCAGACCCCCCAAACCCTCCTGGGACATCCTAACCCCTGCTCCGCGCACACACACACACACACACTTACACACTTACACACACACACACACACACACTTACACACTTACACACACACACACACACACTTACAAATACACACACACACAATGCCACCGAACAACTCCCTGATCCTCATTCCCCTCCCTCTCCTACTCCCCGTCCTCTCCCTCCTCCTCCTCCCGCCCCCCTTCCCCTCTCCCTCCTACTCCCCCTTCTCCTCCTCCTCCTCCATCCCAGTTCCTTAGGAATAGCTCCTCACCGTCGCACCCCTCGGTAGGCCGAGCCGGTCGTTTCGCCTGAGACTCCCTCAGCACGGATGACCCTGAAGCTTGAAATTGGCAACTGTTTCACGAATGGCGGGCAGGTACTTCTCAAAATGTGGCTCGCGCCTTAGCGCCGCGCACCTTCGCCCTGAAAGTTCGCAGCAGCTTCAAGGATGGATGGCGGGTCCTTGTTGACAATGTGGCTCTCACCCTAGCGCCGCGCACAGGCGCCTTAAACGTTGACAGCAGATTCACGGATGGCGGGCGGGTGTTCCAAAAGGTGGCTCTCATCTTAGCGCCGCACACGTTCGTCTTGACAGTTCGCAGCAGCTTCAAGGATGGAGGGCAAGCGGGTTTCACCATGTCACTCTCACCTTGGCGCCGCGTACATTCGCCTCAAACGTTTGCAACATAGTGACGGATGGCAGGCGGGTCATTTTGAAAAATTGGTTCTCGACTTCACGCCGCGCACTTCCGTGCTACAATTTCACAACCGTGTCAAGGATGTCGGATAGCCGAATTCCCAGGAATGGTGTTGTGGCGTGTTGGGGCGCAACAGTCATGTTGACTCGCGGAGCTGCAGTCCCAGAAATGGTGTCCTGGCGCGATTTAGATACGTCGGGACGCAACAATCACGTTGATTCGCGGCGTTGAGGTCCCAAGAATCGCGTCTTGGCACACTTGAGGATTATCAGGTCGTTGTCTCTTCCGAATGGGGCACTTCCAGCAATGAAAATATAGTCTTGTAGGGACCTATGGGGAGGGAACTTGGAGGAAGGGTTGATTGCAACATCGTTGACGCACCTTGGGTTTACACAGGTCATCCTCCTCGTCGTCATCCTCCTCCTTCAAATCCTTGTCCTGCTCCGCCTCCTCGCACCTGTACCTCTTCTGAGGCAGCCAGACATATATTCGTACATACATACATACATACATACATACATACATACATACATACATACATACAGACATACCTACATCCATACATGCATACGGACATGCATGCATGCGTGCATGGACACGTATATATATATATATATATATATATATGTAGATAGAGAGAGATAAAGATATTCCATGTTATATGTATATGTAAATATACATGAGTTGAATCACACGGTGGCGAGCTCTGTGGCGCAAGGTACGTAGTGCAAGGTATGTGGTGCAGACGATGTCGAGTAAGCTATGCGATGCAAGCTGTTTGTTGCAAGCTACATCATGCATTATGTGTCGTGCAAGCCTGTTGGCGTTAGCTATGCGTTGACAGCTGCGCTGCGTAGGCTGTGCAGTGGTACCTACATGGTGTGTGTGTCGCGCGAGCTACGCGCTGCAGGCCATGTTGTGAAAGCTGCGTGGTACAGCACGAGGCGCCGACGAGGTGCCCTCCCGCGGCCACGGGCGTTGGGCAACGCTTGCTCAAAATGGGTGGGGCGATCGATTGGGGGGGGCGAACAGGTGCACGTCGGGGGCCCAAAAGGGCCCCCTTCTGGGCCACAAAGGGCATCCTTAGGGGCCCTGAAAGGGCCTCTTTCTGCAGCCCCCGCTGCCCCCCCCATCGCCCCCCCCCGCACGCACGCGCCCCCAAAGGGCGGGCGGGCACCTCGGCTACACGGAAAGAGCGACCCTGGCTTTTTGGGGGGCCGCGGGGGACCAAACCTAGGCGCGCAAGCCGCCGCTCCTGCTTCGCTCTCAGCCACCTGGGGGCCCATCCGTGCCCGCACCAGAGGTCACTCCGGCGAAAGGCCACTCTTACGTCCAGCCGAGGCACCACGCCGGGCGAAACCTCGGCACGCCCACCCAGCGCGCACGAGGCGCCTCAGGGGGGGGGGGCGCCCGGCGGAATCTCGACGCAGCCCGGCGGAACCGAGGCGCCCTCGAGGCCTCCCCCGCGGAGCGCCGACGGGCGGGCACCCGGGCGAAACCTCGGCACGCCCACCCAGCACGAGGCGCCCACGGGCCAGGCACGAGCCAGGCGCCCACGGGCGGGCACCAGGGCGGGCACCAGGGCGCCCAGCACGAGGCGCCCACGGGCGGGCACCAGGGCGAGACCTCGGCACGCCCACGGGCCAGGCACGAGCCGAAAGCTCGGCACGCCCAGCCGAGTGCCTGAGGAAGCCTGGGAGCAAGAGCCTCCGCAGGCCAGCACTGCTTGGGAACGTATGCCCCGCCCCCCTATCGGCCTTACCCTCTGGCGGAGGAGGAGGGGAGAGCAGCGGGAGGAGGAGGGGGAGGAGGAGGGGGAGGAGGAGGGGGAGGAGGAGGAGGAGGAGGAGGAGGAGGAGGAGGAGGAGGAGGCGCGCCGCTGCCAAAAGAGGACGGCGGACAAGAGCACGAACGAACGAGAAGGGGCCCGTCCAGGGGCAGGCGAAGTCCGCGCCACTCATTGGGCGCTCCCCTCACGGCCCGGCGGCCGAGACAGCGAGGAGCCCTGGCACCAACCTTGGGAGCAGCACGGGAGCAGAGCCCTCCAGCGGCGCGAGCGCCCCGCACTACTGGCGAGCGCCCCGCGCCGGCGCGCACTCCAGGCCGAAGAGGTGCGACGACGAGTGGGCATGACACGTTGGAGCCTTCGGCGGCCACTAGTGGGAGCCTCCCACACCATCTTGTCGGCTCTTGCGACTCGACGCTCATCGACGCCAGGCGACGCTAACCGACGCTACTTCGACGCTCGCCGACGCGGACCGACGCGAAATCGGCGCTGCCTCATCGAATCCTAGGCGCTAGTCGACGCTGAAGACGGAATGAACAGGGTACTCCAGGCTCCCGTGATGTGCTACCGAGTGAGATCGTGATAAACAATGGAACGGATGTCAAGACAAGGCATGGCCGATATAAGCGCCGCAGGCGGCATCGGCTGGAGCTCCCATAAACGAACTCAGGAGAGGCCGTCGCCCCAGCAGAATGTGGCTGGCAGGAGCGGGAGGGAGGGGCATGCCAGACAGCAGCGCGGTGGGCCGCCAAACCTGGACGGGGTATGTAGCCCACGCGTTAAACACTGTCTTGAAATAGGCAGATCGTGTGGAAGTCGGGGCCGCCCTCCCGACGTCCACGAATGTGCAAGACAGACAGGGGAAGTCTTGCACGCGTGATGCAGCACCGATTTCGAACAGCTTCAGGAGGACCATGCCGCGCACGCGAGGAGGGAGAGGAAAGAGAAACAACGCCCCCATCGAGCCTTCAAGCGTGTAGAACAGCTGCCGGATAACGACCCTTTGAATCCATCTTCCGTCCGATGGCATGCCTGGTATGGAACTGAGCAGTTTGAAGTTCTCCCAAATCTGGCCGAGTATGCTCTTCTGGAGTCATTCATTGTCGCCTACGTCAGAAGACAACCATCGTCACCATCAAAGGTAGTAAACAGACATACCAAAGCTTGGAATGAAGCCGACGTAGTAGCCACCATGTACATGCTGGCACGTGTCACGCAGATCAAATCACGAGGGCAAGCGGGAATATAGAACATAGGCAACCGCTTGTGGATAGCAGGAGGGAACTGGTAGGAGGAACTGAGGAGGAAGGGGACGCAGAGGAGGTGGTGGTGCGCTGCTGCCTTGGGGCGCGAGTCCGCGGTCTGGGTCAAGGCACCGCTCGGCCTACCAGAACTAGAGGGCACGGGCGCCCGCGCCTGTCCTTGTCCAGGGCGCCGGGGGGGGGGGGGAGGCGGAGGCCCCCTCCGCGTCGGGCCCCCCCACGCCGCGCACGACGAGCGGGCGGAGCCGCGTGTGCGCCTGCAGGGAGGCCGAGGTCGTCGCCTGGCGGTGGCTGGCGCTCCGCCGCCGCCACCGAAGTCGTCGTCGTCGTCGTCGTTGTCGTGGTCGTCGTCGTCATCGCGCGGTCGTTCTCGTCATCTTCCCTCTATCACTGCCCCTTGTGAACGAGCACCCCCTCCCCCGCCCGACTGTGGGCCAACCCGGGACATGCCAACCATCCCCCCCCCCCCACCATCCCTTTCAAGAAGCGATACAGAACGCACTCTGCCTCCAAATTTCGAGCATGCGCGGGCGCCCCACGACCATTCTGTTATTGGTTTTGACATGGACGGCGGGGGTGTCGGCCTGCTGCTTCTTACGCACCAGTTGCGCGCAATCCGACCGTCCTTGCCAAAAACAATACAAAACGCACTTCGCCTCCAAGTACGGAGCATGCGCGGGCGCCCCGCAACCACTCGGCGGGCGCCTCGCGACCAATCTGCATTGGCTTTTGACAAGACGAGGACGGCGGGGGAGCCAGCATATTGGTTGATGCGCGCAGGCCCACCATCCCTTTCAAAAAAAAGAATACATAGTGCACATTGCCTCCAATTTTGGAGCGCACGCGGGCGACCCATCCACCACTTCCACTGGCTCTTGACATTTGTTGCGCGCAAGTTGCGCGCAAGCTAAACGTCCCTGTCAACAAAAAATGCATTTTGCCTCCAGATCTGGAGCATGCGCACGGCGGGGGTGCCGGCATATTGCTTGATGCGCGCAGGCCAACCATCCTTGTTTTTCTAAAAACTCCCGCCCTCCCTTTGCTTTGTGGTGGATGGCTATTTGTATGCTGTAATTGAAAGTAGTACCTCGCAGCGCGGCCCCGCTGCGCAGACGTGGGTCCCATCTCGCAATGTCTGCATGGTCCTACCGCTCAGGGGCTGCCGGGCCATCATCAAAACAGCACTCGTCGATGCCAGGCTCGTCGTCCTCCAGATTGCGCATGCCGACGGCATCCCAGCCCTCTCGTGGAGCACGTGCCGCACTTGCCGCGCCTCGCACGTTTGGACCTCCATGGTACCTGGTGCACCTGAACCCGTGGCGCATGCGAGGCGTTCCTCGGCGATGTGCTGAGACTAGGGTACTACTTATGTGTAGGGAGGGCGCGTGGGAGTGAGCGAGACGGCTTGCGGTCTCGGGGGGGCCTCGACGCACCCCCGCTCTACCCCTACCCCCACCCCTCCTCCTCACTCCTCCTCCTCCCCCTCCTCCTCCTCCTCCTCCTCCTCATCCTCCTCCTCTTCTTCTTCTTCCTCCTGCTCCTCCCTCCTCCTCCTCCTCCTCCGCCGCCTCCTCCTCCTCCTCTTCCTCCTCCTCCTCCTCATCCATACACTTTCCGTATTCATTGAATTCCAGTTCGCGCGCGCGCGACCGCCCCTGGGATCTCCGGACGAACAGCACGGCGGGACCTAGGACAGACGAACATCCTTCAAAAGCATCAAAACATCCCAAACCGTAAGATCACTCGAGGGTACCCTCGCCCAGGATGCACAATATCAGCCAACAAAGACGAAACACATGAAGGCACCCTCCCCAAACGGACCTCGACCATATACCTCGGTCCGACTGCGCCCTGCCCACTCCACGTCCGACTCAGACCAGAGATGGTTTTGCTGCTTTGTGCAGCCTTCTGGGCTGCCCAAGGCGCTCCAGGAGCGCTGCAATGGCACCTCAAGGGAGCCCAAGGTGGCCCGAGGCGGCCACGGAGCGCTCAAAGATACCTAACAGACAATCTCTCGATTGCCCGGGACGCCCCCGAAATGCCTCGAGAGAGCCCCGAGAGAGCCCCCAAGAAGGTCCCGAGGGGCAAACATCATGGATTTTCGAATTGTGTCTGAAAGATGTCCGCGTCATCGCCTTTTCGTGCTTCCGACTCCCCTAGACCGCCCAGGAGGCCCCCGATATCGCCCCAAGACAATTACCCCAAAGGGCCTCCATGAGGCCCCCAGAGGCCCCAAAGACATCCCCCCCGAGAGGCCCCAAGAGGCCCCCAAGAGGCCCCCAAGAGGCCCCCAAGAGGCCCCCCAAAGCGGCCACGAGGACCCCGAGAGGCCTCCCAAGCGACCCCAACAAGCATCCCAACAAGGCCTCTTGTTCACACCACGGTCGGGGGCGCGAGAAAATGGATTTGCGATCCATGGATTTGGCGCGCGGTCGTCAACTCCATGCATCGGGGGAGGTGCCCTCCCCAAAATGCGGCCGGTGCCGCCTCGCTCGGCGGCGGAAGTCCGCGATTTCCCATGGAAACGGGACCCGCCGCTAACCCACGCCCCCTTGATCCATGTTTGCGATCGCCTGACACGGGGGCCAGACCCTCGCGTCCCCCCAAGCAGCAGCGCTCACGTCAGGCCCACCTCCGTGCCCGCACCCGCCCTGCCACCCCTGCCAGGGCGCCGCCTGCCTCCCCAGCGTCGCCCTCGCCGGCGTCGCCCGCCCTGCTCTTGCACTGGGGCCGGGAGGGCAGGACATTTGAGCGAAGGCGACGGTTCTTGCGCGAGACAAGAAACTTCGACGAGCGCGTTCCAACACTCGCAGAGTAGCTACTCGCAAATGGCCTGAATCTGCTGCGGCGGATTTGTGCTCGTTTCCATAAGGATGAAGACATGTGTGTTTCGGACGCTTGCGAGTAGGCACTTTTTGCGAGTAGTGGAACGCGCTTGGTGAAGACCGAGGAAAGAAGGCGACAACACCACTCCCTCCGCGAGGCGTCAGGCCGGGAGGGTCCTCCTGGGTGGTGTGGCCCCCACCCTCGCTCGAGGTATGCCCCCTGACGGTCCCCCCCGCTCGGGAAGGCCTCGTGGAGCCCCATGGCTGGAGGTGGCCCCCCTGGTGGTGGTGTTGGTGGTGGTGGTGGTGGTGGTGGTGGCGGTGGTGGTGGTGGCAGTGGTGGTAGTGGTGGTGATGGTGGTGGTGGTGGTGGTGGCGGTGGTGGTGGTGGTGGCGGTGGTGGTGGTGGCGGTGGTGGTGGTGTCGCCTCTCCTCCCTCCGATGACGGACGGGATGCGTAGAACAGCACAAGTGCATGAGCATAAACTGTCGGAGGTCCCCTCGGGTTGGTTTGGCGCCGCCGCCCCCCCCAGCCCCTGGCGGCGCCTCCAGCGCCGCCCGTGGCGTGCTCCGCGCGCCAGGGTCTCGGAGTCCAGCGTCGACCCAAGAAATCCAGACGGACCTCTGGAAATGTATGCGAACAGGTTGTTTCTTGATGTTCGAATGCTGATGACAAGAAGGAAACATCTCAAGTCGTGCTCTAACGGTCCAAGGTCTTCATAGCGATGCCGAGCCCGCAACTGCCGCGCTGATCGCAGCCTGTGAGCCTCAAGTCAGACAGGATTGTGATACAATGGCAGACTTGCTTCCAACATCTTACCACACCTGGCAACGGTTGACATGATGAAAACGTTGCACGCTCGAGAAATCAGACACACTCGGTTGCAGAAAGAGCCGAGGCGGCAGCACTACGCAGCCTGCCCACAGACCACTGTTGCCCAATTCCTGGGTCTGGTCTTTCAAAAAATCTCCAGTCTGGCGTGCGACCCTTGATCAGCCGTTGAAGGGAAAAACGTTGGGTAACCACTTCGCATGACCCCCCGTCACCCAGACGGCCCAACTACTGAACAGGCGTTCCCAGAGAAACGGGGCCAGAAAAAACGTGAACCCAACATCTCGAACGCAGCACCTGCCAATGTTAAGGCGGGGGGGGAGGAGTTTGGAATGTCTAATCAAGTCCAGGGGGGAGGGGAGGGTTCTGGTTCGGGCGTTGCCGTCGACACCTTTTTCTCTTCAACCGCGCATTTGTGGAATAACCTTGTGAGTGCAGCGCCCTCAGATTCGCAATAATCTTCTACAAGCATACACTGATGGGCCAGGCCCCTATTCCTCGGACGCCACGGCGCGTCTCGAGTTCGCGGCGTGACGATTCCCGAGGCCCCAAGAGGGCGGTTGGGAGCCCAAACTTCCCACGCTTTCCTGGACGGACCTGGGATGGGGGTCGTCCAAGAGCCGGACGGGGGTCGATTAGGCGGTCTTGTAGGCTCCTAGATCAGTACCAGGGCGTCAGAGTCAGCCAGAACACTCGTTCACCCGATAATCGAGCCTTCTCGCCCTCTTGGCCTTGAGAGCATCCAGGACGGCCCACGATGCTCCAGAGATCGCCCCCAAGAAGGCCCCCGAGGCCCCCAAGAGGGGCCCAAGAGGCATCCTAAACGGCCCCAATCAAAAGAACGCGCCATGGAAAGACAGATCTAAGCCTCCCCCAAGATGGGCAGGAGACCATCCTGAGCCTCACAAGGAGACACAAGAAGCCCACGTGAGGCCTCCGAGAGGTCTGAAGAGGCTCCCCAAGATGCCTCCAAGACATCCAGCTTGGCGTCTGGACCACAAGCCAAACACGATGGGGGAAAAGGGGTTGCCACTACATACTGCCAGACCACGTCAAACAAGGGAGCCTCTGCTTACCAATCACTGACAATACGTTGTATGCGTCAGCCCGTCCCTCAACCCAGACAAATAAGCCATGACCACGACGCGGGTTGGGACGAAGACGAGGAGCACGATGACCAGGACACGACGACGACGACAGCGACGACGACGACGATCACGACCATGACGATGACCATGACAAAGGCGCCGACGAGGACAAGAACGAGAACAACGATGCGGACGACGACCTCGACGACCACTACGACGACCACCACCACCACCACGATGACAACGACGACGACGACGACGACGACGACGACGACGACGACGACGACGACGACGAGGACGGCGGCGACCACGTCAACTGCCCCTCGGAGTCGGGCGCACCGCAAACGGCTCCAGGGACACCATGCACGCCGAAGGACCGCCCTGCGCGTGGTGCTGGGCCCAAGAGAGGCGGGGGGGGTCACCTCTCATCCTGCCGTCTGCCGTCTGCCTCCTCCTCACGCTCCTTCGAATGTCCCTCGTCCTCCGCGGATGGTGGTGGTGGTGGTGAGAAGGGTGGCGGTGATGGTGATGCTGATTGAGATCGTGACGATGATAATGATGGTGATGATGATGATGATGATGATGATGATGATGATGATGATGATGATGATGATGATGATGATGATGATGATGATGATGTATCCCATCCGATCGGATCCTCCTCCTCATAATCCTCCTCTTCATTCTCCTCCTCCTCCTCCTCCTCCTCCTTCTCCTCTCCTCCTCCTTCTCCTCCTCATCCCCATTCCCGCCACCAAATCCCCCCCCTCATTCACCTCATCCTCCTCTTCCTCTGCGCGCTGCGCTGCTGTGCTGCACGATCCATCCCGTGAACGCAAGATGCCAGCACAGAAAACAGCCGAACATCCTGCCTCCTGGTGAGGGATACAGGGTCCAGCGCCTCGACTCCCAGTCAGCACCAGGATAAGCACGACATTATTTTGCAAGATCTTCCGCGTCGTCCGTGGACATAGGTGTTCTCGTGGATGAAGCCCTGGGCCAAAACGGCCCGCGGACCAGCCAAGGCCAACACGACGCGGGGCGAGACACAGCGCGGGGCACGAGGAGGGCGCCTCAAGGTGGGGGGGGGGAAGACGGTGGGGAAAGGAGGAGGGAGATGCTTACAACACAGCGGCGAAGAGGGCGCTCGAGACAGCCTGGAGCGCTGGGTCCGTGAGCAGGCGCCAGACGTGTAAGCGAATGCGCAGCAGAGGCTGTTGAATGCATGCCCGCCAGATGAGCGTCCCAGCACCCCGCTGACGCAGGAAGTGGGCGCGTGGGCGCCCGCGCGCGGCAACTTGTTCGTTTCCCGCGCCTGCTCCGTCGTGTGACTGTGGTGCCACGTCGGCGGCGAGTGACAAACAAAAACGGGCTTGATTTCTCGCGCCTCCGCCGTGCGTGCGTGCGCGAACGCGTACCCGAACGCCCTCGAAAATCACAGGATGGGGATGATGAAGCTCGGACCCAAAACTGTCTGGGCGGGAGACAGCCATGATGCCGGTGGGAAGGGGGAGTATGCCGTATTATCGGGGGCATGCGGTGACGTGTATCGTGTGTGTGTGTGTGGGTGCCTGCGTGCGCACGCGCGCGCGCTCGCCACCCGCATCCCATCTATGGGGGAGGGGCCCGAGCGGCCCCAAGGCCCCGTCCCGTCGTGTGGGGGGGTGGAGTTTTAAAGGTGCCCCTGGCCCAGGGGCACCTTGCGCCAGGGGCACTTCTGGCAGCACCCGAGTCGTGGGGGACGGCAAGGCCCGCAGGCCCCGAGCCCGAGATCCTCCGTGCCCTGCCTGCTTGGTGGCAGCTGCGCCCTGCTCGCGGCGACGCCCCAGGACTGCGCAGCACAGCCAGCATCGGGCCTCTCGGCATCATGCGAGACGGGCCCCCGGCCTCCTCCTCGCCCCCCCCTCGGCTCTGCTCCACGCCTCGCGCTGCCCGCTTCCTTCCCTCCATGCCACTTCGGCTCTCCGCCCGCCTCCTCCTCCTCCTCCTCCTCCTCCTCCTCCTCCTCCTCCTCCTCCTCCTCCTTCTCCTCCTCCTCCTCCTCCTCCTCCTCCTCCTCCTCCTCCTCCTCCCCCTCCTCTGTGCCCACATCGCCCATCCGCCCCTCGCTCCCGGACCCGGCCGCCGCGCCCGAAGCAGGGGCCTCCAACACCTCCTTCACGGAGACGAAGGGGTTCGTCTGGCTGCAGTCTGAGCTGGAGCGTGCTCTTCGCCTCCCGTGGCCCGGCAGGTGTGACGGCACCGCGGGGACAGAACTACACTGAAGGAGGAGAAGGTGGAAGACGAGGACGAGGAGGACAAGGACTTGTCAGAGGGCGATTGGCTTGTGTGTGTGCCAACGCCCATGGGGGACCAAGAACCAACCACTGGCTGCCCTCCTGGAATATGGTGACTGACGATTTGTGGATCGAGTTCCAACTCCGCTCGACAAACCTAGCCTCTGCTGCGCCTGACAAGGAAGACAATGATCTGTCCGTTCTGCACTGGTTTCGGGAACCCTGAGATCTTTCGACGCACACGAACTAGGCCATGGAGGAAGCAGTCCTTGAGCGCCAACGCATGGGACAGAGAGCTGAGGAGAAGGGGAAGGGAGAAAGGAGGAGGAAAGGAGATAAGAACAAGAAGACAAGGATGATGAGAAGGCTCAGGACCAAAACTAACACCCCCAGATCTCTCGCTCGAATCACAAAACACCTCACCCCTCGGGACCGGCCGCAAGCCCAAACAGCGGGCATACACTGGGCGCAACCAAGTCGAACTCTTTCTGGGAGGAGCAGGAGGAGGAGGAGGAGGAGGAGGAGGAGGAGGAGGAGGATAAAGAGGGGGGGGGAGCAAAACCGGAAGTCCACACGAGCCAAAACAACAAGGTCAACAGGCGAACAAACAACTCCACAAGAGCCGACCTGCGATGCCGTGAGCTGTGGCCTGAAAGAAGAAACGAGCGTGCCGCATGCGAGTATCCACGGAAGCCCAGACTGCCAACGACATGACCTGCACACAACGCATCGAGAATGGGGCACCACAAGTGGGCGTGTCATAGGTTGCGCCATCCGTGGGTTGCGGAGGAGGAGGAGGAGGAGGAGGAGGAGGAGGACAGGTTCCGCCATCCACGGGTTGCGCCAGTGGTTGCGCCATGGGTTGCACGGTCCACGGCTTGTGCCAAGGGAGGGCTGCTCCCCTGGCTGCGCCATCCAAGAACTGTGACACTGGCTGCGCCGTCCAGAGGCTGCGGCATAGTTTGCGCCATTGGTTTGCGCCACATGGGCTGCGCTGTCCGCTGGGTGCGCCACAACTTGCGGAACGCGCTGAACACTCCAACCAAAAACAGGATCGGCCCACGAACCCGGAAAGAGATGTAGAAACGTGAAGCATGGCACCGTTTCCGATACGTCCAACCTGTGCAACGGGCATGTACAATGCTCAGAATAACGATCGTGATGTACCGTGCCATGGGCTGTGCTGTACTGCGCCGTGCTGTGCCGTGCTGTGCTAAATTCAAAATGTCACGCCGCGTTGAACCGTGCCGCACCCCAATGCAGTGTGGATCAAGCCGTCCTTGGCGTCAGAAGCGTGGCCGAACAGAGTTGGATATTACGCTCGAACTGCCTGAACGCATAGCTCGGGCTAGTTCTAGTCGGGACGCGCGGGGCGCTCGACCAGCTCGAGCTCAAGGTCCGATTATGTTCCGAACCCATTGTCCAAGACATTCAGTTCCGCAACGGAGCGAACCGAGCGCGACCACGACAGGCGGGGGTGAAACATGCGGGGTTGTCAACCAGCTCGAATTCAGGATCAAATGTAATTCCGAAGAAAACAAACTAATCAAGAAGCGAATCGGAACCGAAACGAAAAGCACCGAAACGACGACAAGGCCTCCGCTCGACAACTCCTCAATCAATGACACAAAAACAACGTTTCGCGAGAGGCATCCTCAACACGTCCTGCAGACGAAGCCTTCCGCTGCAGGCGAGGACATCGCTCGAGATATCCCCAACAGATCCTACAGAGCAAGCGCTTCGCCCTAGACATCCTCAGCACATGCTCATGTTATTGATCCGCCTGGGCGGCCTGGGGCATAAAGACCCGCGCCTCGCTCCAGGCATCCGCAACCAATCCCCATGTTCAAGATCCGCCTGGGCAACGTGGAACAAGCGTGAAAACGCATGGGTCCCTTGCGCGCCAGAGCGGACAAAGCGTGAAAACACGTGGGTCGTATTCGCGCCAGAGCGGAACAAACGTGTAAATTCGCCGGCCCAACGGGCCAGGGCGTGCTAAGATCTCCGGTAACTGGTTAACAGTATTAACAATATTTCTAGTTCGCGCGCGCGGGGCGGCCCCTGGGGGTCCCCCGGCGAAAAGTACCCCGACCAACGCCCGACCAAGTCTACTCAGAGATGGTTTTCCTTCTGGGTGCGGCCTCTCAGGCTCCCCAGAGCGCGCTCAGAGTGCCCCAAGAGGCCCCCAAGACTGCCCAAGAGGCCCCCGAGACGCCCAAAGAGCGCTCGAAGACGCCGAAGATGACCCCAAGACGGCCCAAAAGGCCCCCAAGACAGCCCAAGAGGCCTCCAAGACGCCCCAAGAGCCTTCCAAGAGGCCTCCGAAGAGAGCCCCAAGAGGCCAAAATCGTTGATTTTCATTAGTTTTTTCGATGTTTTTTGTGTTCTGGCTTTTTCGGCTTCCGGACGCTCCAAGACGGCCCAAGAGGCCCCCAAGACCGCTCCAAGACGGCCCACGAGGCTCCCAAGACGGCCCCGGAACGGCCCAGGAGGGCCCCCAAGACGGCCCAAGTGCCGCCCAAGACGGACCAAGAGGCCCCAAGACGGGCCCAAGAGGGGCTCAAGAGGGGAACCGAGAACTGAAAAATCGAGCCCTCCGCCCCAGAAGGCGCCCAGGAGGCCCCAAAAAGGCCCCAAGAGGCCCCCAAGAGGCCCCCAAGACGCCCCAAGAGGCGCCCAAGAGGCCCAAAAGAGGCCCCAAGAGGCCCCAAAACGGCCCCCAAGAGGCCCCAAAACTCGGCTAGCCCACAACGGTGCGACAATATGGGCCGGCGGAATGAGCGAAGCGATTAAATAGATGGGCCTGTTTCGCACCAAGGCGGAATAAGCGTGAGAGCACTTGGGTCCCGTTTGCAATAGAGCGCAGCCAGCGTGAAATTACGTGAGCCCCTTTCGCTCCAGAGCGGCGCAAGCCTGAAAACACGTGGGCCCCCTCTCGCACCAGAGCAGAACACGCGTGACAACACGTGGGCCGCTTCCGCACAGGAGCGCGACAAGCGTGAAAACACACATGGGCCCCTTTTCGCCCCGTGGGCGCAGCGAGCGTGAAAACACATGGGCCCCGCTCGATCCAGAATGCAGCAAGCGTGGAAACGCGCGGGCCCATGTCGCCCCAGAGCGGAACACGCTCTAGAACACGTGGGCGCCTTTTGCCCCCGAGCGCAGCAGGCGTGAAGATACATACGGGCCCCAGGTCGCCCCAGGGCGGGGCAAGCGTGAAGGCACGTGGGCCCTTTTCCCTTTCGCACCAGAGCGCAACAAGCGGGAACAGAAAGCACGCGGGGCCCCTCCAGGAAGCCTCAGGGGGTTATTTTGTTTGTTGGGGGGGGGGCACAGTTGCCCGACCAGTTCGACAGTTCGACGGTTCACGTCGCCCCACTCGCAGCCTCCCGAGCCGCTATGCGGGCTCGGATGGCCTCCAAGCAGGGCAACGGGGCGGCCGAGGCTTCCAGAGCACCCCGCCTACCCGAGACGGAACGTGCCAAGTGATTACGCATCGAATGCCGGTTCGTGGAGTTTGCTCTGCGTGCGCACGCTCCCTCACATCTGGGAGGGGGAGACTGCCCCTGGGTGGCCAGGACGCGTGACAGCACGTGGGTCCCCTTCGACCCAGAGCACAGCAAGCGTGAAATTGCGTGGGCCCCCTTCGCTCCAGAGCGCAGCAAACGTGACAACAAGCGGGTCTCTTTCGCCCCAGAGCGGAACAAGCATGAAAACACGCGGGCCCTTTTCGACCCAGAGCGCAGCAAGCGTGAAAACACGTGGGCCCCTTCCGCCCCAGAGCGCAGCAAGCGTAAGAGAGTGCTTTCCTGCTGCGCCCTGAGGCGAAAGGGACCCACGTGTTGTCATTCCCGCTCTGCCCTGAGTCGAATGGGACCCACGTGATTTCACGCTTGCCGCGCCCTGAGGCGAAAGGGACCCATGTGTATTCTCACGCCTGTTTCGCCCGAAAGCGAAAAGGACTGGGGCGAAGGGGACGGCCTCCCCTCTTCTCCAAAGCGAGCGTGTCGCTCGAGACATCCTCAACAGATTCTGCAGAGCAAGCGTTTCGCTCGAGACAGCCGCAACAAGCGAACACGTATACGTGACCCTTTGTTTTACTGATCGGAACTACGGAAACCAGCAGCTCGCACGGGACATCCTTAAAATTAATATATATATATATATATATATATATATATATATATATATTACTAGAACCACGCGCGCGCTTCGCGCGCGCTTAGGTTCTGTCGAGTCACAGACCCAGGAATCGTTGTGAGAAGAAATTGGTGACGCGAAGCGTCGTGGGGGCGTCCTTGGACGTCTGGGGTCTCCTGGGGCCTCTTGAGGGGCCTCCTGGGGGCCTCCTGGCGGCCTCTTGGGGCGGAAGGCTCGAGCTTGCGGTTCGTGGTCCCCCTCTGGGCCCCCTCTTGGGCCCGTCTTGGGGCCCTCTTGGGCCATCTTGGGCGCCTCTTGGGCCGTCTTGGGGCCCTCTTGGGCTGTCCTGGGGCCCTCTTGGAAGCTTCTTGGGCCGTCTTGGGGCGGTCTTGGGCGCCTCTTGGGCCGTCCTGTAACGTCGGAAAGCCCAAAAGACAACTTTGTTGAACATGTACGTTTTACGAAGGGAATGGGCCAACTTTTGCGTCTAGGGGCCCTCTTGGGACGCATGTTGGAGGCTTCTTGGGGCCTCTTGGGGGCGTCCTTGGACGTCTGGGGTCTCCTGGGGCCTCTTGAGGGGCCTCCTGGGGGCCTCCTGGCGGCCTCTTGGGGCGGAAGGCTCGAGCTTGCGGTTCGTGGTCCCCCTCTGGGCCCCCTCTTGGGCCCGTCTTGGGGCCCTCTTGGGCCATCTTAGGCGCCTCTTGGGCCGTCTTGGGGCCCTCTTGGGCTGTCCTGGGGCCCTCTTGGAAGCTTCTTGGGCCGTCTTGGGGCGGTCTTGGGCGCCTCTTGGGCCGTCC